GAAGAGAAGAGAAGATCAAGTGGTGACAAACCAGTCACCACTTGGAGGTCCTCTAAGCAGAATGGCTAATGAGAAGTTTCCTGGGGAGATGGACAAAAATTGCTAGGACTTAAATGTTAATTTAATTCTTGTCTATAATGTGGTATCAGGATTATGTTAGCTCATAAAATTATTTGGGAAATGCTTCTTCTGCTATTTTCTGTAAGAATTCATGTGAGATTAGTATTATTTCAGGTATGTTTGCTAGATTCATCATTAAATCCATCTGGGCTTGAAATTTTCATTGTGGGAGGGTTAATTATAAATTATGGCTCTACATATTTTCTCTTTCTGTTTGTGTTAGTTTTGGTAAGTAATTCTGCCCAGGAATTCATTCATTTCATTTCACTTGCCAAACTTCTTGGAATAAAGTTGTTTAACAACTTGTTTCTACCTGCTTTTTAATTTCTGTAGAATCTGTAGTTAGGTCTCTTCTTTCTTTAGTGATATTGAAAATTTGTATTGTTTCTTCTTTTTTCTTGATTAATCTTACAAAGTGCTTGTCAGTTTATTAATCTTTTAAAAGAACCAACTGTGGAATTTCAGTTACATTGATATTATTTTATTTCTTGAGATGGAAGTTTATATCACTGATTTTTAACTTTTCCTCTTTCCTAATATCAATTTAAAGCTATATATGTTTCCTCTAAATTCTGGTTTGGGTTCACAAGCAAATATTTAATTTCTTGCATTTTGTTTATTATGTACTTCAAAATATTTTTCACTTTACCTTCAAATTTGTTCTTTGCTTTGTGGATTCTTTAAAAGTAAGTGCCTTAATTTTCAAATATTTATAGATTTTCAAGATATCTTACTAGTATGGATTTCAAATTACTGTTGTGTTTGTGGCTAGAGAATATTCTCTGTATTATTTCAGTTACTAGGCATTTATTAAGACCTTTTTATGGCCCAGAATACAATCTTGCTCATTGTTCCATATGCACTTGCTGTGGGTTGATTGAACTGTGTCCCCCAGAGTCCATATATTAGAAGCTTAATTTTCACTGTGACTGTTGAGGGTGGGAAAGCCTATTATAGTAATTGAAAGGTGGGGACTTGAAGAGGTGATTGGATTGTAGAACTCTGCTGTAATGAATGGATGAATAATGGTGGTCAGGGTCATGGTTTGGAGGGCTTTAAAAACAGAGTGAATGATGAAGTTACTCTCTGCCCTCTCTCTCTGCTCTGCCATTTTTGCAATGTGATACCTTGCCTTCATGGTTGTCACCACCAAGGCCTTCACCAAATGTGTTTCTTGGACTTTGGACTTCCCAGCCTCCAAAACAGTAAGCAACAAATTTTGTGTTCTTTATAAAATACCCAATTCCAGGTATTTTGTATTAAGCAACAGAAATGGATGAATACAGCACTGGAGTAGAAATGCATTTGTAGTTCTGAGTATAGTGTCATAAAGATATCAGTTAGACAAATTGGTTGACCTTGTTATTCAAATATTTTATTTCTACTGAATTGTGTCAACTCTCTCTATCAATAACCAAGAAAGGAGCATTAAACTGTCCACCTATGTTTATGAATTTTTCAGCTTCTTCATTTAGTATTGTCAATTTTTGCTTCATGTGTTCTAAAATTCTGCTACTTTGTGTAGTTTAGGATTATTATGTCTATTTGATACATTGACCCTGTTATCAATATAAAACATGTTTATTTCTCTCTATTAATACTCCTTGACTTGAAGTCTACTTTTTTTCTGATATTAATATGACCACACAGGTTTTCTTTTGATTATTTTTTGCATAGCACATATTTTCCATCTTCTTAATTTATATATATATATATATATATATATATATATTCATTTTAAAGTGTTTTTATATAAATAACATTTAGTATTGTCTTTTTTTATAAATCCGAGTTCTAATTCCTGTCTTTAATCAGAGTGTTTCATCTATTTACATTTCATATAATTATTGATATGGTTGGGTTTTCATCTACCGCATTGTTACTTGTTTTTTTTACTTGTACCATTTGCTTTGGTTTCTTACAGTTTGTTTCTACTGTTTGCATTTTTGATTGATTGAATGACTGACTGACTTTTATTGGTTACTCTATGTTAGTGTTCTCAAAGTTTTCAGCTTCAGTATTCTTTTGTGCTCTTAAAAGATAATAAGGATCACAGACAGCTTTTGCTGATGTGGATTACATCTATAAGTATTTATCTTATTAGAAATTAAAATGAGACCTTTTTAAAACATGAGGGAACACAGCACCATTAATCTTCTCAGCACTGTTAGAATCCCTGTTTCCATGCCCACCTGCCTGTGGAACTGCTCATTACCTTTCAGGTGAACCAGGACTGTTTTCACTCCATGGATGTGCTATGTTAGAAAAGAGCACTATGGAATACAAATTGAACATTCATAGGCATGTCTGTCATGGGAATAACACCCAAATTCATAGAGATGTTCTGAAAATTATTCTGAATTAAGTTTTTGGAGAAAGATTCACTCTTCCAGAATAGATGTTTTGGGCAAAAATCAAGGTATAATGAGACTTCTATTAGTAGAGCCAAGTGGGTAGTTTCTAGTAATGCCTTCATGAACTAGCAGGAGATGCAGAGCTCTAGAAAGCTAATACATAGACCAGAAAACATGAACAAGAAATTTGTTACACAATGGATTCCAGCTGGGAAGGGTAACAGAGGTATCTGTGCTTGTTAAGAGTTCTTAACTATGATTTACTTTTCAAAAGAGATTTCCTACAGACTGGAATTGAGGCTAAATTGTGGCTAACCAGTGAGATGTTAGCAGGTTTTGAGGCAATAAATAAAAGACCAACAGAAAATCTTTAGGATGCTTCTTTTGGAGTCATCTATCTTTTTAATGATCTAGAACACTTGGTTGATGCTTAATGACATTTGGATGGGTAATAAAATTAGTAACCAGGACTACTCATTTAACTACATTTATTCTAACCTTGCACCCCCAAAATGAGAAAAAAACCCTTTGATGTGCAAAATATTAAAAAAAGTACTCACAGAAAGCAGATCACAAAAATAACCTTGAGCAGCGGTGGGAAATCAGACTTGTATGGAACAAGTGACTGCTGTCATTTATTTATTTTACCACTTCACAGAGTTATTTTGAAGCTTATCTGAATTACCACATATGATGTGGGTAAACAGTGCTGAGCACTCAACAAACACTATCATTATTGGCAAAGCTGGTCCTGTTATTATATTTCACAGAGACTCAGTGAGATTAAGTGATTTGCCTAATGCCCCATAGTAAGTGATAGAGACAAGATTTGAACTAAAGACTTATGATTTGAAATTTGGTCTTCTTTCAACACGCTATGATGCCAATTCTATGGGACAGATTTCCTCTGGTCTAATTTATTCCAAATAAGTTTATACAGGAAAAAATAAAAGATAATTTCCACCCAATGAAATACAAATATGACATTTTTTCTTTTTTTGACTGGTAAGAGGAACGCAACACTTGGCTTGGTGTTGTCCGCACCATGCTCAGCCAGTGAGTGCACCGGCCATCCCTATATAGGATCTGAACCCGCGGTCTCAGTGCTATGAGTGCTGCACTCTACCGAGTGAGCCACGGGGCCAGCCCAAGAATATGATTTAAAATGACCATTCAAATCACAAGATACAAAATGCTATGGGTTAAAAAATGCTATTCTAAACTTATTATTCATAATTCTTTTATTCATAAGATTTGCATTTTAAAATTAATTACTTTGTAATATTTGAATTTACAAGAGATAACTTGGCCCTGATTTAAGTACTATTTTTCTTTCTTAGAAACAAGTGGTGAAGTGTGATCAATAGCACAAGTATTTAAGGTACATGTTAGTACATATGTATGGAACTCAGTATTGGAAATGTCATTTCTGATTCTTGATTACCTTTGCCAATGTGAAAAAACAATGACAAATTCTAATTATAGTTGTCAAAGTATAGAAAAAAGAGTAACCACCTCTGGAGGTTCTAGAATAAATCTTTCAGGAATTTTTGCTGCTTAGTTGAATCAGCTATGCTCTGTTACCATAGGGACTTCAGTGGAGCCTAACAATTCTAAAAGTATCCATACTAATCAAGTCAGATTTTCTAAGATCTAAACCACAAGTGCTAGTAGAAGGCCATTACATTACTTAGAAAATATGGGACCATCATAAAGTAATAAATAAGTTAGCACAACTATAGTTCATCATTAGATACCTAAGAAAATAATGACAGCTTTCTTATGCTTCTTTGTAATTAATACTGTTAAATTTTGTCTTTACTGTGAAAATTGTGCTGCTTTACAAGAAAACCATTTATGAAACACAACTGTAAACTTAACCCATGTTGTTCTTACATTTTGACGGCAATCAAAAGACTTTGCAGGAAGCATAATGAAATCATGTGCTCTGCTGACAGTTTCCAGACAGACAGAAATAATTTGTGGATTATGCTGCATTAAGACAGTTCTCTTCTGTATGATCAGATTTCAAAATAGGAATCACCACACTGATGCATTTACTTGTTAGCAAACATGTGCTGCACTTACATATGTAAGAATTTCATTCTTTGTCAAAAATTTTTTTTATAATTAATAGTCCAGCAAAAAGAGTAACTTGCTACTCATGTTTATTACATTAATATCTTAGTCAATCCCTTTTCCTCCTTTAAACACAAGAATTTTCAAAACCATTTCTCAATTAACATTTGGGGCTGTGGTCACTGTGACATTGTCTTTTTAAAAAGAGCATGAGGACACATTGGAAGCCTAGTGCCACTTCAGCATGATGAGCTCAAACAGAAGGCACTTGTTTTGAAATTCCATTAAATTGACATGCTCCAAAGATCTATCTTTCCTGAATGGTACTCAAATGCTTTTTTTGACTAGCATCCCATCACTCTACTTATATATAATAATATGTAGTCACAGTAGTTATTTATAAGTGTGCTCCTTTCAAAGTGTACTTTAAAAGCATGATAAACTCACCTTAGAAAGCCCACCTACTTCCAAATAAAAGCAGATAATGAACACATTCCAGGTGACCCAGAGGGCAGTCCATACTGTATACTAGAAAGGAGAGGGGAAGGAGAAAGAGAACAGAAATGTGGAGATGAAAGGCACGCATACTAAATAAATCAATAATAAAAATGTCAATAAGTCTAAGTCTTCTGGGAAGAAGCAGACAAGGAGCACTCAGAAAAGAGCACTCCTTGTGAGGTCCCCTAAGGTCTTCTGAAATTAAAAATCCAATAGTTTCTACCGCTTTCAGTAGATGCCAATAAATCTGGATTTATTTTTAAAGTGCTTTGCTGGCTTGCAGGTACAAGTCAAATGCAAGGGCTGACTTTATTTTCTATTTTCTGAATATTATCTTTTCCAGGGAACACAATTATGCAAATTTTCTGTGATCTATCTATCTACCTCTTATCTATCTTTCTATCATCTTTAAGTTATAATATTAAATTGTCAAATTTTTAGTAATGTTAGTCAAAATCTAGAACTTCCAGATGCCTGAATAAACACCATGTTAGAAATGTTTGAAAATGGATATATGGAGTAAAATTAACAAACTTTCATCTGTTGGACTGTTTTATTAAGAGTATTGCTTGTGCTTCTAATATAATCACATAATAAAAATATGATCATATAAAATATTTTTAAAGCGCAGAGATTAATAAATAGGACTAAGAATAAACAAATGAACAACAGATTTCCATAATAGAAAAATATCTTCCAGTCATATTCAACAAACTTTTAAACCTGCTGACCTTACTGATTAAGTGGTTTTATTAATATATTATGTATTGAAAAGCATTAGTCAATCTTAACTAAGGTATCCCTAGATTAAGACTCATCTATGGATGGTCCTAGTATGAGTGACCTTAGACAGTTTATAAAAATATGCCAAATTCATTAAAACAGACTTTTCTGAACCACAAAACGTTCCTATGAATATTGAAAATAACTAACCTACATCCTTAACGTATGCTTTTTGCAAGTCACAATAACTACAACAAATTTTGCAGCTCATGCTATAATAAGATGGCATCTAGTGTCTGATATTTTCCATTCTAAATAAATCATTATAAGTATACTGGAGTGAGAGAGCAGTGCTGACCACTAAGTCGTGAGAAAAAAGTCAGTGACAAAGGTTAAGGAACGAACATAAAACAAAGAAAGACTAAAGTAAGGAAATAGACTAAATTAGTTATAAAACCATATGATTCTTAACTATTAGGACCCAATCCTAAACCCAGAATTATTCTTTTAGGAAAGGCAATCAATCCCTAGTTATAAGAAATGCATAATAAAAAAATCTATTTAAAAATCATAGCATAAACTTAATGATTGAAGTGTATTCAGGATCTGTCACAAGTTGTACTATTAATGCTACTTCTGAACTTTCAAAGGTAAAATTACCAGGCTAAATAAACTGTCAGTTCCTACATTCTTAACAATAACAAGGGTTATTATTCTGGTCCTTTCTGTGTTCCTGATACTGTGCTAAGCACTTTACATAGATCATTGCATTCAGGGATCAAGTTAAAACTGAGGTAGAGAGGTAATCATTTAATCACCTATTTAGTTTCAGAGGTAGGATTTGAAAACTTACAGGTTGACTACAGAGCTGGGATGCTTAAGCATTTCTTGGTAAGCTTTATTTTAAAAGAATTTAGAAAAATAACTATAGATTAATTGCAAGTGAATCCTTTACCAAATTCCCTATCTTTTGTCAAATAACCAATTCAACAAGTTACCAGTTTACCAAAAATTCATTTCCTATGTACATGTTCTATAACTGGCAATGTTTCTGGAAAAACAGTACATTTTGTATTTTATAATTAACATGTCATGCATGAAATGGACATCATGGTTTTTTTCAAATTTGTTTTTTTGTTTATTTCAGCAATATTGCAGAGTTTCTTCTAATACATTGGTTTGTTGAGGGCAAAGAATATATGTGCTATTGAATTTTGTGTTGTTATGAGATGTAAACTATACACTTCAAATAAAAATATATCCATATAAATGTAGCTAAGCAGGAAGTATTAGGACAACCTCTGGCCTAAGAGATTGACTATCTTCCCTTCCCTCTTTTCAGGTGGGTTATTTTATTTATAATTCAATTGAAAAAAATTTTAAAAAGAGTTGAGACCCTCTATTTTTAACAAGTACTCTTTGGTTACTATGGACATGCCTACATGCTCATATATCCAGGTAGATTACATATATAAGGTTACATCAGGAAGTTCATAGAAAAATAGAATTGGAAGGTAACACGAATCTTTCCATGAACTTTTGACGTACCCTCGTACATGTGAAATAGAAGACTTAACCTTTCGACGTAGAAAAAAAATTGCTCTGCATAATTTCTCTCTCTCCTACTTTGCTTGTGTTCAGTACACATATTTTAAATTCTAATTCAACTAGAGAACGCCTATAACAATAAAAAATTATGTTAATGTGTTCTATGTGGCTTCCTAAATATTTCTTAGTTTTATAAGGATATTTTAGCATTTTTTAATTGAAATGAACTTTAAACTACTTCTAGTCTGCTCCTTACCCATTGAGCAATTACTTTATAACGTAAATTACATTCACTTTTTGAGCTTGCTTATTTTCCAGTTATGAGAAAGGCCATTTATTCATTCATTCATTCTTTCATATGTGTTTCAGTCAGCTACAATCTTATGCACAATATGCTAGACGTGTAATTGAAAAATAGGGTAGGTTTCTTGTTCACTCATTATTATAACATTTTCTGAAGTGCAGTATTCATGTTCAGAAGAATCTTGGCCAGCAGTTTAGCTCACTTGGGAGAGCATAGTATTGGTAACACCAAGGTCACAGGCTTAGAGCCCAGTACAGGCCAGTGGCCAAAATAAATGAACAAAATCCACAGTAATTTGGGCTGGCCAGTCAGCTCAGCTGGTTAGAGCATGGTGTTATAACACCAAAGTCAAGAGTTCGGATCCCTGTACTGGCCAGCTGTCAAATACTGTATTTGACAATATATCCCAAAGAAGGATGCAAAAGAATTTTAAGAGCAACCTACCATCCTTACATTTTATGTCAAGGAAAGCATAGCGATGGGGGAAAAAAAGACATTAACAGCATAATCATTTGTCAAACACTTACTCTGCTTTAGGCTATGGTAAGCGAGTCACATACATTATATAATTCTTAAAAACGATGTATGGGTCAGGTTTCTACAAATGAAGTAACTATGGCACACAGAAAGCAAATAAATGTCCCAAAGCTTCACAGCTGATAATTAGCAGAGAGGGATTTAAATCTGGTACCAACTGAATTGAAACATACCACTCAGGGAGGAGATTTATGATGATATAGTAGAAAATTTTTTCTATATAACAATTCAAATTAAAAGAAGTTGTTCTTTGTACATGAGCATTTGCATAAAAGTCCAAATAATTAAATTGTGATCCTAGCAAATTTACTTGGATTTTTTTTCTTTAATTTTTAAAGGCAGTTTAGAATTAATTTTAACTCCCAAGTTAATCTTATTTCAAAAAATGTCAAGTAAACTAGCTAATTCTTCTGCATTTAAATAAATTTAAATATGTTTGATTAAATTATCATCCATGAAATAATAAAGATTTAAATAATTCTAGGGCAGAATTTTATTTTGAGATTTATAAATAAAAATTTTAAATATTTGATGTAGCAGTAAACAGATAGGAAACAATTGATTATACAGCAGTGCTTTATGACTGTTAAATATGATTCACAGGTTCATATTGTCTATTGACAAAGAAGCACAAAAGGTACATTCAAACCGAAGACTGAAGCTGGCATCCCCCAATGTATATATCCCACCCTGCACCTTACCCCAAATAAAGTTTAATCAGTAAAGGAGTATCCTATGACCAAGTTGTTTTGTATTCTAAACATAAACATAGAAATAGTAGATTGCACATTATCAGTGGTGAAGGTATCTGGAGAGAAATTATTGCTCTTTCATTTTGTGATTTGGGTGAAATTTTCTAATAGTCTCTGCTGTGAGACCTCCTCAATTACAGTGGCAGGAGCCTAAAACATTCTATTTCTCAGAAAAAAATAAATCTTGAGGAGTAACTTGGCTAATGGTAGGTGCGGGTAGCACAAGTATCATACTTGATCATGTAATCCCTCAACTGAGGTTCAGATTGAGATAAGCAAGCCCGTGAGGTCAGTTTCTTTTGCTGAACTGTTGTTGATGTGTTCTGAGATAAGAAATCACCCTGCAGTCCATCCTGTAAAATCATTTCATCTTATCACCTTAAATTCATTTATTATTCATTCCATCAAATATTAAGCATCTTTAAAGGTTTGTACACAGAGGGCTAGACCTGGAATCCAGCAATGGGTGGGTTCAGTCCTGCCTTCCAGGAGAGCACTGTTGGATGGGGGGAGCTGGGTGGGGGAAGGGTGATGGTAACTGGGTTGGGTGCTGGGGCAGAAAGTCACCAATATCTATGGCAGCCAGAGAGGAAGAGGCACCTCCTCCTGAGCAGGGTGGTCAGATAAGGAGTTAATAGGTAACTATTTAGTTGAAGGTTTATTAAGAGTTTTCTGACAGGATAAAGAGATCAGGGCATTCCAGGCAGGAGGTGCAGTATATGCAAACTGACAAGGCAAGAACAGCATGTGGACTTTGGAAAATACAAATCATTCAGCATGGCTGGCATGAGGTAGGCCAGCGGGGAGTGCAGGAGGTGCAGGAGAGATTAGTGAAGGAGCAATTTTTATAGGCTTTGATTTATACTCTAAGGAGTGGGGCAGTTTGCCTATAGACATTAGAGAGCCTGCTCTGCATGGTCCTTTACCTTAATAATTTTCATAAGGGTGATTAATTCTCTAAAGTCCACTGTGATAAATCCCGTTTGTCGTCTAAAATGGCAGTGACTTACCTTCTGTGTTCTTGCAAAATGAGATTGTGAGCTCCATTAAATCGTTGCAGTGAACAGACATATTTTGTTAATTTCTGGGTGAGCACTTAGCACATACCTGGTGCTCCAAAATGTTTGTTAGTTTGAAACAGATTAAATTTCATTGGCATATATTGATGGTTGTTTCAGCCAATAAAGCAGGCCAATACTAAGGATAGCAGAAGTGATTTGGGGAGAAAATCTCTTGCAATCAAAAAGCTCTTTCCCTGCTCCGTGAAAAGTCAGTATGGATTTCTGATCCAGTTCTCCTCTCACAGTCACTGAAAAGTTGGTGCCTCTTGAGGCACAACTGGATTAATGTGACATGTGCCACACTCATTTTCAGGCTTTTTTCATACCAGAATTAATTCCAAGCTACCAACTGTAGCTTCAAATCAAAGCATTCATGAAAACGACTGAGAGATGAGCTGCCTATTGTGTGACCAAAGAAGCAAAAATAAACAACAAAAACACTGTATAACCACCTTCCCAAATAACAATATGATCTTCCCAAAAAAGGCACTCTTTGTGAACAGATTTCCCATGCTTGCGGATTCATCACTCTTAGGCATTTTTCCAAACAGACAATTTATACCCATGTTAGAATAAAAGGTAATCTGCAATCCCACCAAGGTAACAATATTTTATATTGGCTGAGGAGGAAGGCCATTTGCAATGTCAAAATGTATAACTGACAATGTTAATGTATCATCTGGAATCCAGTTGTGGAAGCAAAGTACAGATCATGCTAAAGCAACTTTGTGACTCTTCCGATACCAGGAATGAGGCCAATGCACACCCAGCCCTGCTGCTTACTCTCTGTGTTCCTTGAGCAAGTCACTTAACCTTTCTAACCTCCTCTGTAAATTTAAGGAAGCTAATGCACAACTTGTAGGATACTTGTGAAGATTAAACCAAATGGTGTGTTTGGTGAGGAGGACTGTCCCACCAATTCATTGATCTCTTTCTCACTCCTTTCTGGCAGAGGGTCTTGAATAAGATAGCAGATAAAATGATACCAATTTGGTTGGCATCGTGCCTTAAAAGAGACAACCAAGATGAGCAAAAACATGGATTGCTTATCCTGTAGATGCTTCTCGTTGAAGATTCTGAAAGACCTAAAGCTTCCATCCTCTACATGCGGGAGGGACAAGGGAGAGAGGGAAGCAAAGGAAAGATTCCAGAGAGAGAGATGCCGGCTCTGTCTGAGAGGACTCTGTAGACTGGTAGGGCACTGGATGGGAAAAGCAATGAATAAATACGTATTGAGCACCTACTACACTTCCTGTTCTCAAAGAGCTCCTTGCCTAGTAGGGAAGACAGAAATGTGAGCAAATTATAAAACATGCTCAAGACACAGGCAAAGGAGCAGGGAGTGAGCCATGATTAAAATAGGTGGAAGGAGGTGTGCATGGGGGACTGAAAAAAGAGGCTAGAGCCGGGGTGCAAGCACCAGGCAGGCCCACGAGAGCAAGAGGCTGGTGAGGCAGGTAGGAGCAGAAGGTATGTGACACTGAAGTGCCCAAACCCTCTGCCCTTTCCAGTCCCTGCAGCTGGCTCATGCCCTCCCCAGGCCTCTGCCCCATCTTAGTCTGGTCCCCTTTCACGGCAGGTGGTCCTCCAACTCCAGACAGCCCTGGACCCTACACCTCCTCATTCCTTACATAATGAGCTCCTGCAGAGAAGGTTCTTTGTGATTTGCATTCTTTTCTATTTGTTCTGTTCTAGTAGAGTATAATAGGTACTCAATACACGCTTAATGAGTGAATGGTAACTATTGCTATTGGGCTCCTACTGTGTGCTCTGTGATGCTTCCTGCCCAGAATCTCCTTCCCCCTTGTTCCCTGGTGAACTCATTCTGCCACTCACACTGCAGACCGAAGCACCCAGCCACTCTGCAGGGCACCTTACCCTGCTACCCTGCTAAGGTCAGATCCCCAGTTAAACATCTCATGGCACAACATGCTGCTTTGTATCACTTATTACAGTTGCAACTTAACATTTATGGATGATTAACTTAATCACTGTAAAATGATAACCCATTGGAAAATGAGTGATTGTTTAATCATTAGAAAGAAAGGAGGAGGAAGGAAAGGAGGAAGGAAGGAAGGAAGGAAGGAAGGAAGGAAGGAAGGAAGGAAGGAAGGAAGGAAGGAAGGAAGGAAGGATTGTAAAAACTGAGCGTGTTCAGGTGCATAAGGCAAGAATGTTCTTAGATCTTCTCCTACTAAAGAGCCAGTGAAAGTTTTAAGCCAGTGATTCAGTGTAAAAATACATCGGAATGAAGAAAGGCTGAAAGCAAGTGGGAAAGTTCATATATAGGAGAGAGAAACATAAGTCTCAACCAAACAGTAGCTGTGAATAATGTAGAAGGCTAACATTTAGTGGGTAGAAGCGACAGTACTAGATGATGTCTCTAATGTATATCTAAAGCTTCATTCTGCAGAGGCCATTTCATAGCCATCTGGCTTTTTGTGCCTCAGCAGAACCTCAGCATCATAAAATAAAAAGTCTTTGATGAGTAGACGTGCTCTATAGTCATAGTAACTAACTTGAATGTATTTATAATCCAATAATAGTTTGATACTATGCGTAACATGAAAGCATCTTATGCTACAAGTTCAACTCCATGAAACACTTTTCTAGTAGATTACACAGTGGCTTAGCAGAAGCTATCTTTAAGAGAAGAAAAGTTAAGCAGAAATTGTTTCACCCCTGCAGCAAACTGACTGACATCACATGCTCCCATAATATTCTAGTGTGGGGTCTGTTCTGAGGACCAGTTACCTTAACCTCTGGGATATGAAAAAGTATATCAAAAAGCCAATTTTGAGATCTAAAATAGAGAATTGGTGCATTTACAGAAAACTTTATAACTTTATACTTTTCGACAGATGTGATTAGATTAAATGAAAACGGAAAGATGTATGTTTTTAGATCTACGGTTTTCTTCTAGTGAGACAGAGTCACTGCGTTGCAAGAAAATAGTAATTCTACTGAACACTGTGTACTTATTCGGGCTTGGTAAGCATTTTAGAGTGTGCTACTCTTATTTACGATTATTTATATATGCTCGTTATTTCTCACAACCTTCTTACATATGTAGCCTACAATACTGCCCTCTTTTTATAGAAAAGGCAACAATTTCCTGTAAATAATTTCCATATACTGTGGATCACAGCACACACCTCAAGAAATTGTTCTTCAATGGGACTTGTGCTGACCATGCTTGGCATAGTTTGGAGTTTGATTTTTGTTTCAGATTTATCTAGACAAAATGGGGAAACATTCAATAATATCTTGTATAGTAGGAAATACATCATGAAATACATTAGGAGTGTGCACTTAATATCCTTCAGTGTGTGCATTTGTAATGTCTTAAATCAATTAAAATTAAATTACATTATTGTGTATAATAATTAAACAATTATGCTAGATAGGTTTGCTTTTTTGAGTTAGTGATAGCAATTACTGAAAGTTAATGATAGATTAATACATTAATACAATGATAGCTAATGTACGTGCACCCGATCATAACATCAAGATCATAACAAGACTTCCTCCTCTATTTAAATCCTATTTTGAATTTCCTTGTGAAACTTGACTTTAGTCACATTGTGAGTCACACTATGTCAACTCACACTTATGGGCATGTTGCTTTGTTCTCACTATAAAACAGTCATGTCGCTTTTTCCACAGATAATAATTTCTTAAGATCATCAAATATTTGAAAACTAGAATAGCAATTCCATATCATGTAGTGTTTGTATGAAAAGACATGATAAAAATAAGACTTACCACCATGATGTATCGAGGTCTGTACTGAATGGTTCCAAACAAACCCAATATGACAACTATTATATGTAGAAAATTTCCAAGAATAGGTGCCCACTGGAAGCCAAGGAAGTCAAAGATCTGCCTCTCTAATGCCAAGAGCTACAACAAAGCAAAGAGACTTCGTTAGCATCTAATCCAAGCATCGTCATACCATTTTAATCTCCATCTCATGGCTGGAGAAGTCTGCACATTGAATTTCAATCATACTCTTGAACATCATTATCCCTAGAATTTTGACACCTATTTCATGTACTGTTCTATAGGACTTTTCTTAGAAAATTTACTAAGATAACTTTGAATGTTATAACTTCATGTATAGATTTTAAACCAATCTGGAAAGCCAGAGACATACTCCTTAAATCATTTTCTACAGTAGAAAATCCAGAGAGATATTTTTGACTTAATGTCGTCATTGTTTTTAATAAGATGTTTGGCTTAGTATAACATACTTGGAAAAAAAGCCAATAAAACTCCATGCTTACAATAATAGAACTAGTATCATCTTGGAAAACAAACAAATGAAAAAAACTCCTAGCCATCCCTGCCTTCCTGTGTAAAATATACATTAGCCAAATCTGTTGGGTTTCTTTTCCTTTCATTAGACTGCCAATGATGATAATGACTCACAATTTTTTTTCAAAATGAAGCTTACTATTTACTTACATTAAGCTCAAAGCCCTGATGTAAAACTAGAGCTAAATAGGCTCTTTGAACCACATTTTATTGAGAACATATACCTACATGAAAATTCATCTTAGATTAGGTAAAATGCTTTTTGAATACCCAAATGAAAGTTATGGGGTCATTAAAATTTTAGACATGCTGCAGTTTATTATATTTTCATCATATACAACTACATTTTTAAACAATTCTAAAATGTATCAATATATACACTTAAGCCATTTATGATGAAACATGAATTTCATATGGTCCAGTGAAAACCAACATCATTCTCATGTACAGATGGTATTTTTTTTTCTATATATGAAACTTTTACAATTCCACCTGCTGTAGTTATTTAGACACTAACCTTTATACATTTCATTAATTTTTCTAGATTTACTTTGATAAAATAGTAATTCTAATAAAATTAGTGATTATCCATAATGATGGGACTAGAAACTACAGCTTTGAGATGAAAATGGCACCCTAGGTATTTTTTCCAGCTATGTGGCAGGCATATGACTGAATAGCTTTAATTTCCTTGGACATAAAGAAATGTCCTCCATCCAGTAAGCTGAATTTTCCTTGCTTAAGATTTGCCTTCAGCAAGCTGTGGAGGAAAAGATAAAAAAGCTAATACTTAAAGACAACCACACCAAATCCACATTCATTTCATGGGTATTTCCTGGTCATGGAGTGATTTGTTACCATATCCTGCGTCCACAATGTAAAGGAATGGCTGAAACACAAAATAATCAGAGCCGTGGAAGACACGACAGACTGTTTTCAGCCCCCTGTTTGTCTCTGCTTGGGACTCTCATTAGTTCTCAGGAACTTTCCCCTGAAAAGCAGCATTTTATTTATTGGCCCATCAGTGATACAAATATACACTGCTTTTTGTATCAAAACAGGAAGAATACGTTCAGAAAAAAAAGAGAAGAAATCCTGATCAGCAGCTGTAGGCAATTCATTGAAAAACAACCTTATTTTAAAGCTGCCATGCATCATACAAACCTTTAAAGTGAACTTTTCAAACAGAAAAAAACCCATTTTCTTTTCTACCAGAAGATGCATGGACAATGTTCTCTTTTACTATATTGAAGAAAACCCACATAATAAAACAGAAACCAAATTAATGCTACTTATGGAAAATCTGCATTCTTTCTTCAAGACACTCTATCTCTCTATTTATTAATATTTGTTTTCTTAAAACTTAAAAAATAGATCTTAGGTGGGTTGAAATAACAGCACAAATAAAAGCCGTCAGCGACAGGGAGCGGATCACATCAAGGACAAGATGAAGAGCAGCCGTGACAGCTGGGTGAGCTATGAAAACTGGGTTGCAGTATTATGTTTCAAAAAGCCAACTGATTATAACAACGAAAAACTTCAGAAATAAACAATATACCATGTTATTTTCTACTTCGTTGTTTTATCTAATTTCCACCTTAAGCTACTTAGTTATTTAGTTTACCAACCAATATCTTCTCCTCTCTAAATGTCATAATCTCCAGAGACACAACTTTTCACCCTAGAGCATGATATTAATAATAATGATCTGAGCCACCCAATGGAATTAAATGATATCCAGATTGCTTTCTTAGCTCGGAAAAAGTATAAATGTAATTTAGAAATATCTGTCAAAGTGATTCTAGTCAGTGCTGTGCTGGAGCTGCTGGCACTGGCCGGGGACACGATCCTGCTCATCTCTTCCCAACCCCACGGTCAGTGATGTCAAGGCTGGGAACATGATATCTGCCATAATGAGAATATTTGTAACACAGAAATCAGGAAGCACTATAAATCAGCATTGGTTCGTTTGTTTGCATGTTTTGAAAACCTATTATTAAACATTTACTTACACAGAACTGAATTTGGCACCTGTAACCACATTTATCAAGGACAAAAACTGGTCTCAGCTAATTTCACTTTTTGAGAGCATTGCTACTGTTAACAGAGTTTCAGGCTGTTTTTCAGGACATAAGCTGAACATGCACAGAGAAAGAGATCTTGTTTGGTACAAGATAACCTTGGAACCAAGAGCCACCTGCCTCCAGAACCCAAGTATCAGAAATGTTGCTGCCGGAGCCCTTTACGAAGCCAGAGGTTCTTCAAAAAGGAAAATCTGGCATCCAGCAGCTTGGTTGCCATATTTTGACTGATTCAGGGCTACCCAATCACCTTCTGCCAAGCATAGAGATTCTCTCAAATTTCCTCATTCCTCCCACCCCTTAAATTTGCCCTGATCCCTTCAGAGACAGATTTGATTCATTCCCCCATCTCCTTGCTGATCCACCTGCAATAAAAGCTTTTTCTTTTCTCAAAAACCTGTGCCATAGTATTGCCTCCTATGTGCATGAGCAGTGAGCCCCTTGCTTGGTAAAACTCCTAGAAACTCATGGTTGTGATTCAGGAGAGCAGTGAAAGGAAGCCCCCAAATTTGTAATGCAGCATAAGTAGAAAGTGACCACTCCAGATGAAAGAAGGGTGCAGGGCTCAAAAGGAATCCCTGCAGGGATGCTGTAGCAGAGAAGAGAATGAATGAGACATCTGAAGAAATCAAGGCTTAAATAAAGATAGAAAAAGAAAGTGTGAAGGAAACAAGACAGTCAGACAAAGCAAAACCAATCAATCACCAGTTTAAAGTAGTACCGGAAACACAGACCTAAAGAACAATTAAACTTTTGATAAGTGAATGCTAAAGTAGGTAAGAATCTGGAAGCTATAAAAAGTATGATGAAAAAGAATATGTTTTTTTCCTAACAAGTTAAAAAATAAAAGCAATCAGAATATTGATAAAAAGGAAGGAAGGAAAAAAGGGAGAGAGGGAGGGAGGGAACCAAACAAATCAGCTATGCAAGGAAAGCATGGATCAAAAACATCAAAGAATTAAAATGGGGTATGGTTTTGAATGTGAATATGGAGAAGCCATTGAAACAGCCTCCTTGAGTGGCACAGGGAAGGCCACATTGTAGCTGTAGTAGAGAAATGTAACTCTAGTTCACTCTAGGTGCCCCATGAACAATATTCCACAGTCATTACGATGGAAATGTTGTATTGGATTGTAACTTTCAGAATCAAATTGTAAAAAGCTTGAAAGTCTTCATTATAGTTATTGAACAAAATGTTAGTATAATTTGACCATATAAAATATATGCAACAGAGGTTGGGAGAGGCTGAATGCTCTGTGTCTATATTCTGTGTGTTAAGGCAAGGAGGATGGGGTGTGTTTTAAAATTCTCCTTCAGGGTCAGGTATTTCATCAGACTTCAATGTGAAAATTTTCTAGAAACCTACTCTTTTGAATCATTAACCATGTCCCACATTAACCACCCATACTCTCAATAACTCAAGAAATGCCTCTGCTTTCTTATTTCATGCCCAAGCCATGTATACAGAGACAAATAAGAGGGCCTTTAAAATACAGTGGATTTCTTATTGATCTACGTATTGTGACTAATGCTTCACATGGTATTTTGCATAATCACTCATAACAATCATACCTAATTGTGAAAGTTAATTTACATTTAATTAAAAAGCTGTAAAAATTCCAGGTGATCAAACATGTTTCTGGGCATTTACCTAGGCTGGGTCTACAAAATAAGCTTCTGCCCAAATAAGGGCCAGGTAAGAAGCCTCATTCTGAAAGAGTGCATGCCCTTGGAGATTCAACTTCACAGTAAGAAAAGTGAGCTGCCTTTTACTCTCATTCCCCTTGGACTTTTCCTCTGTTCACTAGAGACAGACACAATGAAAAAGATAAAACAGGATCACTCATGTTGGCAGAATCATAAGAAAGCATTTGATCAAACCGTAGTTTCACAGAAGACTATGAAATCAAAGTGTGTTGTGTGACTACTACCCTCTTTGGTGTAACCTCTTGCCTAGGAATTTATGTGATAAATATTTTATAACCGTGAAAAATCAAATATTTCCTTAAAGTGAGATTTTAAAGGTCTGGTTAACATTCTTACTAGCTAAAGTGATCTTTCCCAGGCCACTTCAAGTGAGCTTTGGGTTATTGAAGTTGGTTTCTTTATGTCTAAAACATCCATGTAGCCCCAAGCTCCACTATCATCACTTCCTTTGCTCTGAAATCTCTTATCTACTCAACTTCTAAGGGTCTTTTTATGCTTGAGATTGATGATGTCCAACTTCTGTGTACATTAACATGGCCCAGGCCAATTATAATCATATTTTAAACTATAATTTGGGAATATTTTTTCAATGGCTCTGAAAACAAAAAGGATCAATAGCATTTATATCATGACCCTACTTCATAGTGACACACCACAAAAGCTCTAATAACCTAGAGATTTACCACTTGCTAAAGGAGGTGCTATTCTGGTAAAATTTTCTATGTGTCTATAGACAGGTGAACAAGCCTTAGGATGTTCACAGACTTTGAAATGGATTCAGGATTTCTAAATTTGGCTTGCTTGTGAAATGGTTCA